TGACTTATTTTTACTTAAAAAAACATCCCAGAATTGCACAAAAATGGCATTGCGCACTCTTCACTATATCCATGTACACTGCTTTTATCTCATAAATTAAAAAAATTTCACGAAAATACACGACAATTTTCTCAATCTTTAAACCCGGTAAAAAGAACATATATGAAATTACATGATCGCGAAAAAGTATTTACCCTTTACAAATATGAACATTTCCACATATAAAATAAATAAAATATCCAAAAACTTTTACCTCTAAATCATCTATTACATTATACACGTCACCAACGAATTCATACATGAAGCATTACAAATATTTAAATTATTTCCATGCACATTTATTTCAACTTAAACATACACCAAATTCCTACAAGTATAAAATTCACAAAATAACTATCATTTCATTAAAATATAATTAAATTCAAAAACACCACTTAAAATATACATGAGCACATACATTCAATTAATAAAAATTACCTTACAATCCTAATTACTTTAAACTAAATCATTGCTAATAACAATTTTCCCAATAATACCAAATTCCTTTCCTTCTTACATTTCCAACAATGCATAAAAATAATTAAAAATACTAACTTACCTACTTACTAACTTACCTGCAACTATAATCTCCTTCAGAATCTTCATTACGTGGCGGATACACTTTTCTTCATTCTCTTTCAGAATCTTTAAAATCATACTTATCTTTCACAGCAAGATACCACGTAAAATAAATAACATAATAAAACATGTTTATTTCTCTCTCACACAACCTTAAAAAACATTTCTTACTATCCTTTTCAATACCACTAAATACCCATTTCGAATTCACTTTACTTACGGCCATGGGATCCAAAAATTCACAAAACACTATTTCACACAACACAGAATAAAGCCAATACAAAATTACAAATTCCCAGATTTTTCCCCATTAAAGAACAGTAATTCGTCCATTAAAATCACATGACATATCCCATCATCTCTTCCGATTAAAGAACCGTAATTCGTCCATTAATATCACATGACATATCCCATGATCTCTCATTTCCCCCACACAAAATAATGCGTAATCGGAACTCAGTACTGCTCACATTATTACCAAAGTCCCAGGTAGTAACCTTTATCGCCTCCAAAATGTCGCCAAACTACCAGTTACCGTAATGTAAAGATCAACCAAAAAAGGTTCTTAAATTTCATGGCATTACAAATGCTACAATCAGAAATTTGCCTAGTAACGTTATCAGTAAACTTACTGGTATAATAAATGTCTGTTTACCTATCTTGTATTTCATGGATTTTTTAGAAGTGTGGCATATTATTCAGTTTGGCTTTAGGAAAAACATCAACAAAGCACCTTGTAAGACATTGAATTTGTGGATGCTGCCCAACATGATGAGCAAAAATTTAATTTACTCATGTAAGATGTAGTAAAAGCCTGACTGCATCTGGCATGAGAGGCTAATCTATAAATTAATTCACTTGAAATTAGATAAAAAATTAAGCCTCTTGATTATGCCATTTATTAAGAATCGAAGGGCTGTTGTTTTACAGAGAAACAATCTGATATATGACAAATTAGGGCAAGAGTGCGACAAGGTTCGATTCTTGAACCTATATTACATTTACTCTATGTACTAGTATTTCCACAAAATGGCCTAGATGATGATTTTTCATCAAGATTTAGGAGCTGATAACACAGCTCTTGCTGTAAAGACTACAAATGTTATTTATGCTATTAAAAGGATTGCAGATCAAATGCCTAGCATCGAATCTTGGCATAAAAATGGCACACATCAATAAATGCACAAAAATCTATTATTTGTTTTCAGAAGGATATGTGGGTTGATATTTATTGTACGGTTCCACTTGGTCTCTGTCTTAAAAAATTAACCAAGTGGTATTGGTTGTTCATGAAATCTGGAAGCCCGCCGCATGAAATAGGTTCTTCAGTAACCCTAATGCTGGCAAAACTAGAGTTGGGGAAAATTGTGCGAATATTGCCAAATGTGTTATGATAAGTTAAGATTTTTGGCTATTAACCCATTTTGTATAGACCGGAGATTTTAAATTGCTGTGTTTGGTTGAATGTGTGTAATGTTTTATGAAAGTGGTGCCTGAAAGTTTGCTTAGTGTATAAATGAATATATTATTCTTTATACATCTATAATTTCTGACAGCTGGAAGGAGTACATAAAATAAAAGGAACGTGGAGTGGAATTAAATGCAGTTTAGCCAAGAGGAAAACGAAGGATTTTCACTATTATTTGGCCAAATATGTGTGGTGCAAGAAAGAAGCAAGAAAGTATTGCATAACTCATATGATAATGATTAAAGCTTAAAAATTATCTTCACAAGGTAACAGCTATGTTTTCAAAATCTTTAAATTATTAAAAATAACCAGTGTATATAATGCATTTCATCTCTAGGGAAAAAAGTGGTTTATCTTCGGATTATGATAACTTGGCAATTTTTTGGCGAAAATTTGGCGACCAACCCTGCTACAGCAACCTGCTAGTTTTTTTTTTGGGGGGGGGGGGACGCCATTTTGTTTTCACAAAGTAAAGGCATTTTTTTCCAACAATCTGCTAGCCAAATTACACTTATGCTAGAACTTTTATGGAACAAAAGTGCTTAATCATGACGAAGATTAGGTGCGAAATTGGGAGAAGTGCAGAATCGCCCACTGCCCTGCCGCGTTTTTAAGAATTGCATATACACGGTATCCATGTACACGTCGACCTATTTTCACTTAAAAAAACATCCCAGAATTGCACAAAAATGGCATTGCGCGCACTCTTGACTTTATCCATGTACACTGCTAAAGTACTAGCTAGTAACCTTTATCGCCTTACCAAAATGCCACCAAACTACCTGTTACCATATTCCAAAGATCAGCAAAAAAATTAACAGTTCTTTTGTCAAAGCTTAAGGTCATAATCGATACAAGAAATAAAGGTGAATCTTCGGATTATGGTAACTTGGCTATTTTCTGGGAAAACTTTGGTGACCAACCCTGCTACAGCAACCTGCTAGTTTTTTTTGGGGGGGATGCCATTTTGTTTTCACGAAGTAAAGGCTTTTTTTCTTTAACTCACATTTTTCCCAACAATCTGCTAGCCGAATTACACGTATGCTAGAACTTTTATGGAACAAAAGTGCTTAATCATGACGAAGATTAGGTGCGAAACTGGGAGAAAGTGTAGAATCGCCCACTGCTTGCCACGTTTTTAAGAACTGCATATACACGGTATCCATGTACACGTCGACCTATTTTCACTTAAAAAAACATCCCAGAATTGCACAAAAATGGCATTGCACACACTCTTGACTTTATCCATGTAAATATCCACCTATTTTCACTTAAAAAGTCAAAAGAAAATTTACAAAAATCAAATTCTTCTTACTCTTGTAAAAAGCGCCAAACAAATAAGTGGGCGATTCTGCACTTTAGCAGCAAAATTGTTTCTAAGTGCTTATTAGCTAAAATCCCGATTGGAATTTTCCGGAAAATGTCACATTACATGTCTCATGATCTCTCATTTCTCTGAGACAAAATAATCTGTGATTCAAACTGTGTACTTCTCAGATTATTGCTAAAGTCCTAGCTAGTAACCTTTATCGCATAACCAAAATGTCGCCAAACAACCTGTTACCATATTCCAAAGATTAGCCGAAATTGGTGAAATTAAATACAATATAAGCAATGGCTGCTGTAAATTGCTACTTCTCTGGAATTAATGAATTTATAATATGTCAGTATTTCAACATTATGATTTTTTACTTTCATTTACCTCTTCAGATATAAATGAATCATTAGAATTTTAATACAAATTATATACTTCAAGAGAGAATGGCAAATTTTTCACTGCATTCAGCCTTTGACAGTTTTAGAGACAAACCAATCTGCAAGTTAATTAATTCTAATGCATTTCCTACTCCTAAAAAACTGGGGAGGGACAGACATTTTATGCCTATATAATAAAAGTATAAACACAGTAGCAATGTTCGCAGGACGGTGTAACATTAGCAGGAAGTTTGATAACTATGTTAAGAAATTCTTGACTTAATATTTCTTACGCAATGGAGTACTACAAACACGCATGCAAATGATTACGATTAACTCCTTAATTACTGACACATGTAATACATAACTTCTAACTAATAAATATATAACTTTTTCTGACTAATAAATTACACTACACTATAGCACTTGAATTCAATCTTAAACTTGCAGAATATTAAAAAACATGATGCATAAATAAAAATAAGCCATTATTAACTGATCATCAATCAGCTAATAATGACAATGACTGAGCCGCGGTATTACTTGAAGTAGTTATAAAATGAACACTTTCAGTCAAACAAAACTCATTTATAACATCAGCTAAACACAAAATGTAACTTCATGGATATATTAAAACTGAAAATAAGAAGACTGCAAATGCTACATTAATGATATTAAAAAAAATACCTAATATCAATAGTACCACCAATTGCAAAACGTAGTATCAGCGTTTAGAACAGTGAGTGACTTCACATACGGGTTAAGGAGAAACGTTATTAGACTACTCTATACTATTAAAAGATTATTCTATACTATAGGTATCGCCACAAGATGATATTAAACACTCAGATTATTCTACATCATGACTACCACAAAAAAAAAAAAAAAAAAAAAAAAAAAAAAAGAACATTATTATTCGATTGTTCGCATGTTACAGCGGTTATAATAACAGTATTAATATCTGTGGCTCAATGAAAACAAACTTTTCATCATCGTATTCTTTAACACCTTGTAATTCGCAATAACTGACATTTTCATAAGAGAAAATTAAGCGCCAACACGCATTTGTTTACATACAACAAACAGTTAATTGACAAAGCACCTTTCATTACCGGAGATGTAAATTATTTTGAACGAAAAGAATACGTTACATATACTTTAGTAAGATCACTTTTAAATGTAAATAAATGCTTTTAATTCAAAGGAATGGAAACCTTACGTCAAACTTCTAAAGGTGACTCGAACAGGATTAATCCTTACAGAAATTTTGTACGTCAGTAATGTTAATCGGAAATATTCGGAATCTTTCGGCTAAGTAATTACAAAGAGTTATAAATAAACGAACCAATGAAAGAGAAGATTATATGTCATGTGAGAAGCTACGACCAATGGTCTCTCAGTGATAGGTGTACAGAGCATGTTCGGAACTATTCGTCCTCCCTTCTGTCAGCGCAGAAAGTTTTCAGCTACCGCCGCCATTTTGTTGGAGACGGAGAAGAGGATTTTGAGATTTATCAATTGAGAATATGTCCTAGAGTTTATATCCAGTCGCTATACTGGGTCCAGATTGGGGGATACGTGTGGAATGTTTAATGTATGATATGTGATTGTGTATTATTTGTTATTGTTGGTGAGAGATGTGTGTTTTATGAAACATGCGATAATGTAGTGCACGGAGATGTGTGATGGAGGGTCAGCAGGATCCCGTTCGGCGTAGTATCAACTCAACCTGAGCGCGGTATGTAACTAAGTGAAACCACGATGATTATTAGCCTTGTGTGCCTTTACCATGCAGTTGTACATCGAACATCATGGCAACGTTCTTGGCCTATAGTGTGGTTAATATTTAACCTCACAATCATGTCTATCATTTTCAAGAAATGTTGACAATCTTCGCCATTTGTGAATTTTCAAGAGGTCTTGGATTTTAGGCTTAATCAACATGGCTGACCATCTAGTTGAAGGTCCTCCTAATAAGCGACCAAAACTTTCTGAAAGTGCGATATCTGACAATTCAGGTATGGTATTCCAAGTGGTTTGTTTCACAAAATTCATCACTAACTGGTGTCATTCTTGGTGCATTAGTGCATTACTTTGAAATTAAGATTTCTTAATCATCATAACAAAATAGAATATATTGTAACTACTTTGTAAATATGCAGATATACTAAAAGTTGATAAATATTTATTTTGCTATTTCCTTTGATTGTAAGCAATCTAAAATCAGATTGCACCTGACAGGGCGAGGAAGATATTTAACTTTTCGGTGTCAATGAGCCATAGAGCAAGCACTGCTGATCTTTTAATCGTGATGAAGTGTAAAAATGATAGAGGTGTCGTCGAGCATGAATGCGTTTACTGAATATGTTGGCCATTTTTCTGCAAAATAAAAAATTTTGTGTTGATTTGCATCGTGCATATCGAAAGGAGCTGTGAGCTGATATGATGCGGAGAATGCTGTCATATTAAAAAGGCCATTCAGCTGCTATTGTTACTTTTCTTGCAGTTTAGTATAATATAACGTTGTGCCGTTTATGTTAATTTGCTTTCAATTTCACATTTATCAGATGTTCAGCTGCCGGTGTTAATTTCGTTACCATTTCGTGTATAATACGAGAGGTTCAGCTGTTAAATTTCCTTCATAATTCATGCATCAGCAGTGCTTGTTAGTGAGAATTATCAAGTAAGTACAAAGTTCGTTTAAGAGGTAAGTTCTATTTATATATAAAATTGTGTTTCTTCCATAATGAGATATGTTTGCTAAAAAATAAAAGCTTGGAAAGCATTTTGCTGCTACGAGTATTGAAACTAGTTAGTTCTAATTTCAGTGTAAATAGGTCTGTTATAGAACAACTGTTAGTTCTGGTTTGTCGTATTATCCATAATTTATTTCATTCTGTGACAATTTTGCACTGTTTCACGACTCAAATTTTAAAGAAACCTTAACTTTGCTAGTTAACATGAGTACAATCAGATAGTATGCAAATTCCTCTCCTCCCCCCCAAAAAAAACTCGAAAATTGTTATTATATATGTGTAATGTAATAATATAAAGGATAAGCTGGTTGGCTATGGAATTAGTACTTTGAAGTAAATTACTGCGTTTCTAAAACTGATGATGACTGTTGTGTTGTTATTATTGGTAGCACTGAAATTATATTACATGGAATAGCAGCAGTTATTCTTTATTTAAATGTGGTTATCACAATTCAGCATTTCATGAAATTCAGGACTTCTGTTGACACCACTGACATGCCAAACATTACCTGACTTCCAGTAGCCCGCACACTCGATTGATTCTTATTTATGCCCTTACAAGAGTAGTTGACAAAGTTTACATACTTTATTTTGCACTTTCTCTGTATTTTGAACTTTATTTCACATATTTAGGACTATATAATGAATTTTGTGGTACCTTATCATGTGGACCAATAAAAAAGCACTCGCCTTCTCAGGACTAATACAGCCACTTTGGATGTTTTTGAAGCATTTAATGTCCTGTGAGACTTGTATTTACTTTCGCCATAGAGTTCTTAATTTTACCAACATTTGCATGGTCATTTTCCTTACTTTGGATTTATTTTCTCTACGTTATGTACTTACTTCAAATTCTCTGGACTTCGCAATGCTGCCGATAAGCCAGGCAGTTCGCAGGCTCCAAACTCGCAGAGATTCATTAATTTTCTCTTGCAAGAAAAGTTGTCAAGTTTTTCGGTTCATAGGTCATTTGTATTTCTACTACAGTATACTTTTTGCATAATCCACCCATGTGGACCAATAAGAAAGCAGATTGCCTTCTCAGGATTTATTTGCTTAATGACATTGGTTTTTACAGTAGTTTACTTTGATGTTTTTAAGAAATGTTTGCATTGCTGTTACACAGTGGTCTACAAGCCTATCATGTTTCGGATTTGCCACCATTCATGCGACTACCAGCAAGTTTCCTTTCCACAGCCACTCCAGATATTGCATTCCTTTACAGAAGCATACAGCTTCACTTCTCTCTTTTAATCTTTCCTCTTCATATCTATTTCAACTGGAGAAGAACTTATCTTCTATGTCTCTTGTAAATGTCAGGACCCAGATAGAACTCATTAAAGGGTCTGAGAAAAGCTGAAATGGAATATCTCTTTCTGTATGTCGGAATATCCAGAAACCGTATCTGTTGATCTTTACAATATGGTAACTGGTAGTTTGGCGACATTTTGGAGGCGATAAAGGTTACTACCTGGGACTTTGGTAATAATGTGAGCAGTACTCAGTTCCGATTACGCATTATTTTGCGTGAGGGAAATGAGAGATCATGGGATATGTTGTCATGTGATATTAATGGACGAATTACGGTTCTTTAATCGGAAAAAGGGGGGAATCGGGAAAAAATGTGGCAATTTTGTATTTAGCTTTATTCTGTGTTGTGTGAAACAGTGTTGTTTAATTTTTGGATCCCATGGCCCTAACTAAAGTGAATTCGAAATGGGTATTTAGGCATTGTGATAAAGAGAAGTTTGCTTTTTATTTAGGGGGAAGTATGGAGGAAAAATTCGCATAAAAAATCTTTCAATAATTTTATTGAATGAATTAGAAAAGTGTATCCGCCACGTAATCAAGATTCTGAAGAAGATAAGGTAAGTTAGTATTTTTAATTATTTGAGGATATTATTTTTTATGCATTGTTCTAAATGTAAGGTGGAAAGGAATTTGGTATTATTGGGGAAAATTGCTATTAGCAATGATTAGTTTAAAGTAATTAGAATTGTAAGATAATTTTTATTAATTAATGTATGTGATCATTTATATTTTAAGTAGTGTTTTTGAATTTAATTATATTTTAATGAAATAATAGTTATTTTGTGAATTTTATGTTTGTAGGAATTTGGTATACATTAAGCTGAAATAAAACATGCATGGGAAATAATTTAAATATTTGACACTAAGTATTTGTAACCATTTGTAATATTGCTGTATGAATAGTTAGTGACGTTTGAATATAATAGAGAATTGTAGAGGTAAAAGTTTTTGGATATTTTATTTATTTTATACGGGGGGAAATGTTCATATTTGGAAAGGGTATACTTTTTCGCGATCAGGTAATTCATATGTGTTCTTTTTACCGGGTTTAAAGATTCAGAAAATTGTTATGCATTTTCGTGAAATTTTTCTAATTTATGAGAAAAAAGCAGTGTACATGGATATAGTGAAGAGTGTGCGCAATGCCATTTTTGTGCAATTCTGGGATGTTTTTTTAAGTAAAAATAAGTCGGCGTGAACATGGTTTATTTGTATGTGTTATTTTGAAAAACGCGTAAGGAGTATGGTATTGTGCACTTTCCCAATTTTGCAGTGAATATTTGTCATGATAAAGCAGTTTTGTTTGATAAAATTTCTAGCATAAGTGTAATTCGGCTAGTAGATTGTTGGAAGAAGTGTTCAGTAGATAAGAAGAAAAGAAACATGTCTTTACTTCGTGAAGACAAAATGACGGCGGGGAAAAAAAAAATAGAGGGTTGCTGTAGGAGAGTTGGTTGCCAAATTTTCGCCAAAAAATCGCCAAGTTACCATAATGTAAAGATCAACCAAAATATCAAAACATTACCTTTATTCAAGTATTTGATCAAGTAAAGTATCAAAGCATATGGTGATCTATTTTATGTGAAGTTTTATTGATAAAAGCTTTATTTGAGCTTCTTAAAGAAAATTACAGCAATTTAATCAACTAAATTTAATTTATGCTTTATTTTTCTGCCAAATGGAAACTCTTTTGAAACCAGAAAGTTGATGTTGACCTCTCACGTTTAAGAGCAGAATCTAAATAGAAAAACTGAAAAAAAAAACTTTTTCAAATTTTCTCACACCAGTGAAGGAGGCAACTTGGGAAAGAAAACTACAGCTGTTATGTAATTTCGTGTCTATGAGTGTATATCAATATATTAATGATTCAGAATCTTATAATAATCCAGTTAATGTTGTATGTTCATTGTAGATTACTAAAAGAACTAAAATATGTGCCCTGCACTGTTTAGCATCTAGATTTCAAGTAATGAGCAAGTCTGTAAAAGAATATTTACAGATATTAAAACGGCTGAGCAGAGATTGGGATTTTAAGTGGGTTACTGCAGAATATAAAAATAAGTCGATTACAGATGCATTCATCCAAGGTTTGAAAAATCCATGCATTCGAGAACGGTAATTGGAAAATGCTTATGATCGAGTTAGAGCATTAGAGTTTGCTGAACATCATTCCAAATCATATTTAACATCTTCCTCAGTACCGGTAGCTGCTGTTGAACAGTTTGAGAGTAAAAATTATGATAATGAACAAATAGGAGCAATAGTTGCTCCTGTTTTTGAGAAAATTGTTTCATTTGTGGAAGAAACTGTCATTAACAGAGTATTTGCCTAGCTAGGGATGCAGCATGTCAAGGATGGGATTAAAAGTGCCGTTACCAAAAAGGTATGCAAATTTAAACTTGTAATTAATATTACTTATTACACGGTGGCAGTTTTTACATTAGCATCAGCTTTGATGCTTCCTCGCTATCCTGTAAATTTAAGAATTAAAGTCTCAGTAAATGGGATTCTGCTGAATGCCCTAACTGATGTGGGCAGTTCACCGAGTTTTATGAATTAGTGTATTGTAAAAGATCTCAAATTCATGTAAAACTATATTTTGGTAGAGTAACCATGACTAACCTTTTTCTTAGATATTACAGGCTGTTCTTAAGTTACTATTAAATTACAAACTCTTGTATATACTAATGTGAAAGTATTAATTAAAAACCTCTGTGCAGAATTTATTGGGCATCTGTGAAAACAGAATTTAATGGTTTGACCCGGAATATCTCGTACTTTTACGCAGGCTTTTTAACGGTTTGTCCTGGAATATTGTCATTTTAAATATAAAATCGAAAACAGACTGTCCCGTGTTTTTGTTAAGATCGTCAAGAATGGCTAGCTTGAATTTTTGTCTTGTTTTCACCTCAATATGACTAAGGGGACGCGCATCGCTTCAACCCTGACGA